AAGAATTTCTTGATTTCTACCTTAATTTCATTATTTACACAGAAATTCAGGACCAGGTTAATTGTTTTGAGTGATTTTCTTAGTATTGATTTTTATTTTTCTTGCATAGTGATATGAGAGTGTGAGAGGAATGATTTGGGTTTTTTAAAAAAAATTTGCTGAGGATTATTTCATGCCTGGTTGTGTGGTCATTTTTAGAGTATATGTCACATGCAGACAAGCAGAATGTATATTCTGTTGTTTTTGGGTGGAAAGTTCTGTAGATGTCTATTAGGTTCATTTGGTTAAGAATAGAGTTAAGTATAAGTAACCAAACATCCTGGTTACTTTTCTGCCTCAATGATCTAATACTGTGGGTGGAGTGTCATCTCCCACTATTATTGTATGGTTATTGAAGTCACTTCATAGGTCTTTAAAAATCTTTGTTAAAGTCTGTTTTGTCTGAGATTAGAATACAGCCAAGATTGTGCCACTGCACTCCAGCCTAGGCAACAGAGAGCATGATGACTCATGCCTATAATCCCAGCACTTTGGGAGGCTGAGGTACATGGATCACCTGAGGTCAGGAGTTCAAGAACAACCTGGCCAACATGGTGAAACCCCATCTCTACTAAAAATACAAAAATTAGCCAAGTGTGGTGGCATGCATCTGTCATCCCAGGTACTCAGGAAGCTGAGGCAGGAGAATCACTTGAACCCAGGAGATGCAGGTTGCAGTGAGCTGAGATTGTGCCACTGCACTCCAGCCTAGGTAAAAGAGCGAGACTCCATCTCAAAAAAAAAAAAAAAAAAAAGAAAATCTTTTTATAATACAGAATTCAAAAGGATTATAAGACAATACTATAAACAAATTTAGGCCAACAAAACAGACAACTTAGATGAAACAGCAAAATTAATAGAAAGATACAAATTACCAAAGCTGATTTAAAAAAAAAAATCTGAATAAACTTATAACGAGGACAGAAATTGAATCTGTTTTGTAAAATCTTCTAATTAATTAAAAAAAGAAAAAAAAGCTCAGGCCCAGTTGTCTGACTGGTGAATTAAAGGAGAAATAACAATTTTGCATGAATTCTTCCAGAAAATAGAGGAAGCAGGAACACCTTTCAACTCATTTTAGGAGGCCAGTACTACCTTAATACAAAAGCCAAAAAAAGACATCACAAGAAAAGAAAGCTATACATGAATACCCCTCATAATGAAAAAGATGCAAAATTCCTTAATAAAGTATTAGCAAATGAAATCTAATAATAAATTATATCCAATATTACCAAGTGGGGTTTATCTCAAGAATGCACGATTTGTTTTACAATTAATATATCATGTGAATAGAATAAGGGGAAAAATTATATGGTCATCTCAACAGATGCAGAGAAATCATCTGCTAAAACCCAAGATTCATCCATGATAAAAGTGCTCAAAAAACTAGAAATGAGAGAACTTCCTTGAACTAGAGTATCTATAAAAACCTACAGCTAAAATCTTATGTAATGGTGGAAAGACTGAATGTTTCTGCCAAATATCAGGACAAAGGCAACATTATCTGCTCTCACTTCTATTTAACCTTATATAGGAGGTTCCAGTCAGTAAAATTAGGCACCAAAAAAAAAAAAAAAAGCAGGTTAGAAAAGAAGAGGTAAAACTGTCTTTATTCTCAGATAACATAAACCTATATATACACATTCCTAAGGAATACACACACACACACACACACACACACCCATACACACACAAAATAAAACCTACTAGAGCTAATAAATGAATTCAAAGTCTTGGGAAACAAGATCAAAAACAAAAATAAATTTATTTCTACATACTACCAATGACCAATCCAAAAATAAAGTTTAAGTGACAATTCCATTCAACAGCATCAAGCACAATATGTAGGAATAAATTAACCAAAAAGTGTTCACTGTACACTTATACAATGAAAATTACAAATCTGAGAGAAAATGAAGATCTAAATAAATGGAGAAACATTCCATACTCATAGATCAGAATTCTATGTGCAATTCTCCACAGATTCTATGCAATCCCTATCAAAATCTCAGCATGGGCTTTTTGCAGAAATTTACAAGCTGATCCTAAAACTTATACGGAAAAGCAAAAGATCCAGAGTAGCCAAAACAATCTTTGAAAAGTAGAAGAAAGCTAGACAGCTTAGACTTCCTTATTTCAAAACTTAGTACAAAGCTATAGTGATCAAGACACTGTGATAGTGTATAAGGACACACATATACACATCAAAGGAACACAACTTAGTACAGAAATAAATCCATACATTTATAGTCAGCTGATTTTTGACAAAGGCATGAAGTCAAGTCAGGGAAATGGGAGTTTTTTTAAAAAAATGGTGCTGGTGACCAGGCATGGTGGCTCACCTCTGTAATCCCAGCACTTTGGGAGGCCAACGTGGGCAGATCACCTGAGGTCAGAAGTTCAAGACCAGCCCGGCTAACATGGTGAAATTCCGTCTCTACTAAAAATACAAAAATTAGTCAGGCATGGTGGTGCACGCCTGTAGTCCCAGTTACTAGGGATGCTGAATCATGAGAATCACTTGACCTTCTGGGAGGCAGAGGTTGCAGTGAGCCAAGACTGTGTCACTGCACTCCAGCCTGGAAACATACTCTGTCTCAAAAAAAAAAAAAAAGGTACTGAGACAATTGGGTACCTACATGCAAAAAAAGTTTCACCCTTAACTCACATGATTCCTAAAACTAACTCAAAATGAATCATAGACATAAACGTAAGAGCTAAAATTAGAAAATGTTTAGAAAAAAACTTAAGAGCAAATCTTGTGACTTTGTGTCAGGCAATGAATTCTTAGATACAACACGCAAAGCATGGTCCATAAAAGACAAAACTGATAAACCGTACTATATCGAAATGAAAATTTTCATGCTTCAAAAGATACCATTAATAAAATAAAAAGACAAGTCACAGATTGGGACAAGATATTTGCAAATCATATTATCTAATAAAGGATCTGTATCCAATATATATAAAGAACTCCTAAACCTCAGTAATAAGAAAACAATCTAATTTTAAAATGGGCAGATATCTAAACTGACTAATGGCCAATAAGCACATGAAAAGATGTTCATAGTCATTAGAGAAAAGAAAATTACTCCTGGAAAAGCTATAATCAATATGACTGATAGTAACAAGTGTTGCTCCAGTAATTAATACATATTGGAGAAAAAGACAAATGGAGAAGAACTGACATCCCAGAGACAGACCTTCAGTTCTTCACTTGATGGAAACTTGATATATACCAACAGGGGCATTACAGGTTAGTGGGGAAAGGGCAGTCTTTTTAATTAAATAATGCTTGGGAGATTGGTTTTCCATATAGGAAAATGAGAAGGAAAAAAAAAAAGAATAATATAAGGCCTCCATCTGATAGCATTTTTAAAAAGTCAATTTTTTATTGACTTTATTATTTTTTCCTTTCTCCCTAGAGTTATAGCTATACTCTTTCTTCATTCATTCTAGCAGTTCCTCCCACACATAAAGTACAAAAGGTAGAGTAGACTTTGGGCTTGGCCGCATGACTTACTTTAGCCAATGGGTTATAAGTAAATGTGCTGTAAACAGGGCTTTGCCCTCTTGAGTTTCTGCCAACATCATGAGAAGAATGGGCCCTAGCTAGCCCACTGGTCCCAGGAGAATTAGACAAGTATAGGGCAGAACTCTCCCTGCAGATCTGCCATATGAAACAAAGCCAACCTAACCAAGGCCAGATGAGATCAGCTGACTCCCAGCCAATCTATACATGGATAAAAAGTAAGTACTTTGTGTTATTCACTACTGAGAGCCTTGTGGTTATTTTTGCTATGCACCATTACTGTACCAACTATTAATACAATTCCCAAAGGATGAAAATATAAATGTATAAAGCAAAGCTCCAAAACTTAAAAAAAAAGTTAAATTACTTTACAGCCTCATGATAAAGAATTTCTTAAATGAGACACAAAACATAAAACTAACCAGAAATAAAAAGATTACCAAAATAAGTCATTCTACTCATTGAGATGCCTCAAAAAGAAAAAAAAAAATTGTAGACTTCCAACAAAATGGGAGAAGGCCTGCCATACATGACTCATAAAGAATTACATAAATACATAAGAAATCAATCTATAAAGGACAATCAGACCAATAAAAACATGAGCAAAAGACATTAACAGGCATTTCACCAAAGATGAAACTCAAAAGCCAGTAAGCATGAGAAAAGATGCTGTACTTCATGCAAATTAAGTTAAGATATTCTATTTTACATCCACTAAATTGGTTTAAAAAAATTCAGGTATTGACAGCATAAAGTATGGGCAAGTGCAGAATAACAGGAGTTCTTCTACACAGTTTGTAGTAGTATAAACTGATAACGACTACTTGAAAGAACTGGTATTATATTAAAGTTTATGATGATATAATTCTACTCCTTGTCACATACTGTGGATAACTTGTGCACATTCATACCAAGAGGTATGTACATGGATATTTACAACAAGACTTTGTATTTTTAAAAATTGAAAATAACCTAAATATTAATAGAATGACTAAATAACAGAAACATAGAATGAAATGTTATACAGGAGTAAAAATGAATGACAGCTGCATGCATCTACATGAATGAATAACGTTGAGTGAAAATAGCCATGTCATCAATTAAGAGAGTATGATACAGTCTAAATAAAATCCAAACATAAGCAAAACTAAATATATTGTTTTGTGAATTGTACGTATTTGGTAAATCTACAAAGAGACACAAGAGGAAAATAAAAATATACTTGATAGACAAGCCCACACAAGGAAGCAGGCTGATGTAGATCCATTTAGGTATATAAATATATCAAATATTTTATAATTATTTTTTAGTGCCAGAGAAAGAAGAAAAGTACTTCTATTTGAGAAAACAGAAAAAGCCCTATTGAGGCTGACATGCCAACTTCTGGAGATGTTCAAAGGAAAAAAAATGTGGTAAATTCTAATTTTACCTTTTTATATCTATTTTATTTACATGACGTCTTTTCAGTATCCAAAACCTAGTATGAAAAGAAAATCACATAATCATTTTTATGCATTCATGTCTAATTCACATATACTATCATACTATTATAGTTTTCAAATTATTCCAATCACATTCATCCTAATAATCATCTAATATTAGTTACTACTACTACAGGAACTGCAAAACTTATTTTTTATATATCACTTTTCCATATCTATTTCATACAAATAAACAACTAAATATTTGGTACAACTTCTAATTCCACATTAAACTTCGTTCATATTTTCAACCTAAAAATATCTATAAACAAGAACCTTTGGCTTCATAATATTTACATACGCTCAATGGAACATTCTGCCACGAGATCGTATGGTTGGTTTCAAAAGACTTTTGTTTTCATGTATACTTAGATTGAATTTTTAAGAGACTAGCTCCAACTAACATGAGAAATAAAAGAATACAAACGACTATAATTTTTCAATAACCTTTTCTCACAGACTGTAAGAATATCTGAAGAAAACATTTTGAAATTACTACTTAACTATTCTTTGATGTAAGTCTAGGATGTTTATAAACCCGTAACTTGTAATTTTCCTTCCAAGACTCTTTATAACAGGAATACTATTTCTCCTATTTGATTTGTTTTATTTAGCTTAGCTTATTAAAATGGCTAATTACACTGAAGATTTTATGAACATTCCAACTTAAAGCAGCAATGAATATACATCTTCCTTTCAGCTGCAAGGAAACATACAAATGAAAAATATTTAAACTGAATTCTTAAATTATCAGTCCTAATATATCCCATATGCTAATCTATGAGGCACTCTCCTTAATTATCTTCAAATGTTCATCCTTAGTTCAAATATATTCCTTAAAAGAGAAAAAAAAAGATTAAAAATTATACTCACTTTAGCCAACAATTCTTGTGTTTCAGGAGTCAATGGAGCATGAGAAAACTTGCAATACTCTCCCTGATAACATTTTGTTCCTGTATGGTAAAACTTACAAGGATATTCATGTGACACAAGTGTTAAGGAAGAGAACAATTTTAACCCAACTGAAATAATGTTACTAACTTAATGACTTTATTTTTCCTAAATAAAGGCCTCTGTGGCCAGGCACGGTGGCTCACACCTGTAATTGCAGCACTTTAGGAGGCTGAGGTGGGTGGATCACTTGAAGCCAGGAGTTAGAGACCAACCTACCCAACATGGTGAAACCACGCCTCTACTAAAAATATAAAATAATTAGCCAGACATGGTGGCACAGGCACACCTGTAATCCCAGCTACTCAGGATGCTGAGGCACCAGAATCATTTGAACCTGGGAGGCAGAGGCTGCACTGAACAGAGATTGTGCTACTGCACTCCAGCCTGGGATACAGAGTGAGACAATGTCTCAAAAAAAAAAAAAACCTTTCCTACTAGTTTAGCTAAAACACTGGTTTCTCTTTAAAGTACAAGATAATAAATTATTAACTGAATTACATTTAAAAATCTAATTTTAGGCCTGGCATGGTGGCTCACACCTGTAATCCCAGCACTTTGGGAGGCCGAGATGAGCGGATTGTGTGAGGTCAGGAGTTCAAGACCAGTCTGGCTAATGTGGTGAAATCCCATCTCTACTAAAAATACAAAAACATTGGCTGGGTGTGGCGGCATGCACCTGTAATCCCAGCTACATGGGAGGCTGAGGCAGGGAAATTGCTTCAGCCAGCGAGGTAGAGGTTGCAGTGAGCCAAGATCACGCCACTGTACTCCAGCCTGGGTGACAGAGCTAGATTCCGTCTTAAAAAAAAAAAAAAGTCTAATTTTAGAAGGACTACATAAATAAATCAAGTATATTGGCTATCACAGGCCACTTTTTTCTTTCATGTCCATTCTTCTAATAGAGTACAGGCATGTTTCATATATAAAAAAGAGATAAAATTTTAAATACCTTGATAAATGTGATTATTTTTAAAGCATTCCTTTGGGGGTGGAGAAATCAAAGTCAACAATGATATGTCTTACAAATCTGGATCCTTGGTACATTAGACTTGTTTACAACAGAATACATTTATATAACTTGAATATTGTCTTCTAGGAAAAAAAGTCCTCAACCTACAATTTGATATTCCTTATATTCAATGCCTGAAGAAAAAAATTTTGTGATGACTAAAGGCGCTATTAACCTAAAATGTTTATGTTCCATGTATTTTCAACTTGTCTGTGCCATTTGCACTGAAGAACTAATGTTATTCTGCAAATTAAGAGACAATTAATTTCTATATAGTACAGAATACACAGAAAACAGGTACTCCCAAATTATGTAATCCCTGCCTTTTTATGAAGTAGCTTATTTGAATATAGATTCAATTAGTCAATATCACAGTAGAAATTATGATACTCTTTCTGGGAAAGACTTGAAGAATTGAAGAGGTCTCATGGACCCTCTATACCACCCAGGTTGAGCAGAAAGAATCATCATTTGAGAGATTTTCTAAAGAATTCCTCTTTTCTTGCTTATGAAAAATCCATGTACAATTTAACCACTTTGATACTGAGTTGGGCTTGGATAGTATCATTTTGGTATAGCTAAAACATAGTTTCATTAAAAATTTTGCACATTTAAAATGTTCCTGTAAATATTTATAAAGAGTAAAGTCACTATATATTTTGATAAAGGATATTATGCAAATACAGACAGTTTTCACCTCTGGTACAATATCCTTGTACATAAAACTTACACATTTCCTTTTTCTTCTCTATCTCTGCATCATGATCAAATTTACACTGGTCTCCCTAGGCCAAAAGAAGGAGCAAGGAAAAGCCATTATTTCTAATAGTCAACTCATTACAATTTAATTCCTACTAAACTTTAAGCAAATGATTCCAGAAAGAACCAAAGTCTCAGAGGTTGCACATTCTAATTATGTAACCACATCACATGTATCTGCTTAAAATTTTAAGTCCCAAACATTTTTAAACACAAAGCATTTTTAAAAATTATCTGCTTTTTTTTTTTTTTGAGACAGAGTCTCGCTCTATAGCCCAGGCTGGAGTACAGAGGCACGACCACAGCTCACTGCAGCCTTCATTTCCCAGGTTCAAGCAATTCTCCTGCCTCAGCCTCCCAAGTAGCTGGGACTACAGGCATGCACCACCATGCCCAGCTAACTTTTGTATTTTTGTAGAGATGGGATTTCACCATGTTGGCCAGGCTGGTCTTGAACTCCTGAGCTCAGGTGATCCGCCCACCTCAGTCTTCCAAAGTGCTGGGATTACAGGCGTGAGCCACCACGTCCAGCTACTTTTTAATCATAAAAGAATACTTAACTGAAATTTTCTAACTGAATTTTTTCCAGAAGGAAACAGTTTTAAAAACCTAAAGGTATGAATTAAAAGGGTATAAAACAGAAAGAGCAGTTTTACATTTTAGATTTTTGCATACATATTTTTATACCTTAATACATTTTCTTTCAAGAAAATATTTACAAATTTGTTTTCCCTTGCGTTCCACTGTATGTTGATTGATGAATGCCTGACTCAAATGCTGCTGCTTCTCTTTAGGTTTACCATCCTTTAAAAACAAAAACAGAAAAATAAATGTAAGAAAAAGAAAATTAAATATTTTATTCTGATGCACAAAATTATTTAAATCAACTTCAAAGCCTTAAAGGGTGACTTCTATATTGGCCTTCATATGTAAAATTTGGACTTCTGTATACCAGGTTAAAAATAAATGTTTTGTTCAATTTCAACAGCATTCCATTGTTGAATATTCGTGTTTATATGATTTAAATATTTCATCATAGATTGCCCTTATTTTGTAAAAATGATTGAAAAACATTTTTAAATGGGCTAGACGAGGTGGCTCATGCCTGTAATCCTAGCACTTTGGGAGGCTGAGGTCGGCGGATCACTTAAGGTCAGTAGTTCGAGACCAGCCTGGCCAACATGATGAAACCCTGTCTCTACTAAAATATAAAAATTAGCTGGGCATCGGGAGGCTAAGGCAGAAGAACTGCTTGAACCCAGTGTAGGCTACAGTGAGCTGAGATCATGCCACTGCACTCCAGCCTGGGTGACAGAACAAGATTCCATCTCAAAAAAAAAAAAACAAAAAAATTTTTTTTAAATGAAAGTGCTAGTATTATAATTAAAAAGCAAAGTCTAAGAACAAAGATCTTTAGAGCAATAGAGACAAAGCTGGAAATCAGAGAGTGAACCAAAAGCAGTGGAATCTATAGTTTCAACGAGATGCTCACTGGGTAAGTTGAGTACACTTACAAGCTCAAATTAACAGTCACTACACAACTAGAAATATACCCTCAAAGATGGTGATAAAAGTATAAAAGATTCTTATATAAAAAAAGAAAGGGGCCGGGCGCGGTGGCTCACGCCTGTAATCCCAGCACTTTGGGAGGCTGAGGCAGGTGGATCACGAGGTCAAGAGGTCGAGACCATCCTGGTCAACATGGTGAAACCCCGTCTCTACTAAAAATACAAAAAATTAGCTGGGCATGGTGGCACATGCCTGTAATCCCAGCTACTCCGGAGGCTGAGGCAGGAGAATTGCCTGAACCCAGGAGGCGGAGGTTGCGGTGAGCCGAGATCGCGCCATTGCACTCTAGCCTGGGTAACAAGAGTGAAACTCCGTCTCAAAAAAAAAAAAAAACAGAAAGGAAATTTTATAATACATTTAAGCTCTTTAGGAACATAGGTACTTTTTACATGTTAACTTGTGCTACAGCTTACAGCTTTCTGTATACCAAATTTTTGAATATATTTTAGGAATACAGTATGTACAAAGAAACTGCACAGTCATTTACAACAACATCAAGTTTGCACTTAGCACCATCAAATTTATGTCTTATAAATATCTGCCAGTTTAAATCTTTTATTTGATAATGTTACTAAATTCTACTATATATGTTTAGAATTTGTTCCTTGTGTAGAAGGTCTGCCAGCTTTGGCTAAATAATCATTTGAGTCATGTAAATCAAACCAAAGAGAATACTGACAGGGGGTTGGGAAACAAAATCCTAGTCCTGGCTTGGCCCTGTGTGACTATAGGTAATTACTTTAACCACAGGGCTTCAGATTCCTCATTCATAAAATATGGAGGCAGGCTTAGATTGTATACAAATGTTTTTCAATCTAGAATATTTGGTATTTCTAATATCTTACCACCCCTCACGCTTGTCCCGTGACCAAGTCTAAAAAAAAAATTTGCCATCCAGTTAAAAGCCCTCAGAAAAGTGGAATCCAGAAGAGGTACTTATTATTCTACCCTGATGACATCTACAGAATAAGGAAAAGGAACTTCTAAAAACGAAAATCAAAATACAGAAAGGTAGAAGTGGGGAGATTTGGTAAGGCCAATGCTCAGAAATATTCATTTTTAATTTGCAGAAGGAGTCAGGATGAGGCACTTTGGTAGTAAAAAATTTCTAAGATTCAGTGGCCTCTGAAATGCCTCTTGACTATTTGATCTTCTTTGGGCTTCCCATTTTTCTAGTCAGACAGTACAACACTAAAAAAAAAATCAAGGAACAAAAATTATAGGTGGGTATGGTGGCTCACACCTATAATCTCAGCACTTTAGGAGGCCCAGGCGGGTGAATCACCTGAGGTCAGGAGTTCGAGACCAGCCTGCCATGGTGAAACCCCATCTCTATTAAAAATACAAAAGTTAGCCAGGCGTGGTGGCATGCACCTGTAGTCCCAGCTACTCAGGAGGCTAAGGCAGGAGAATCACTTGAACCCAGGAGGTAGAGGTTGTAGTGACCTGAGACAGTGCCACTGCACTCCAGCCTGGGTGACAGAGCCAGACTCCACCTCAAAAAAAATCAAAGAGCTTGTGTGCATATATTCACGAACAACAGTGAGAACACTAAGGCTTAAAAGTGCTGCTGGCAGCTGGTGAGAAAAACAAAGCTGCAATAAGAAGGAAGAACACAGTGATAGTAAAAGGACACCTTCATCCAAAAATCCTGATTCTGTGGGATGTTTCCACCTCTCCGTATCACACAGCACTTCTTGTCACTGAAGTATAAGATAAAGTCCAAAAGCATGCAGGGGACGGCGATTCCTAGAAGCACATGTTCTTATACCTCTTCCTGTGAATTTGATCCTTTGTTTCCAGTGCCAGGCCATTTTCGCTTCATTTTCTTCTGTTTGCCATTTTTGTGACCAGCTTTAAGATTTTTATTTTTTTGTTTAGCAGCTAAAAATAAAAAGTTAATTCAAAAAATGACATAAAGTTACAACAGCAGTTTGCTTTTAAGAAGTACAGGGCCAGGTGCAGTGGCTCATGTCTGTAATCCCAGCTCTTTGGGAAGCTGAAGCAGGCGGACTGCTCAAGGCTGGTATTTCAATGCCAGCCTAGGCAACTTAGTGAGCTCTTGTCTCTACAAAAACTTAGCTGGGTATGGTGGTGCATGCCTGTAGTCCAGCTACTCTGGGACTACAGGTTAAGGCAGGAGGATTGCTTGAACCGAGCCAGTTCAAGGTTACCTTGAGCTGTGACTGCACTGCGGCACTCCAGCCCGGGCAACAGAGCGAGACTCAAACAGAAAAAAGAAATATGATTTACAATAATTTAGGAAAGTTATCTAAGGCTCAGTAAGTGAAAACTGGCATGATACTGACCAGTCTTTCTAGAAGCTCCGGGACTAAGGGACCATAAAGAGAATTATGATAATACATCCTGGATTCTCTATTCATTCTTTTAAAAAATATATAAGGTATTGTCAAGAAAAAAGCAACATAATAAAATCAGTCTTGCAAGCTCTAAGGCAGATCATTGTGAAGTGTTCAGAGTATGATGGATCTAATTAGGAACTGGAACAGTAAAAGCTTTAAGTGGTTAAAATGACCTCATATATTACTGTCAGATTTTTTACTGAAAAGATTTTAAATAGATTAGGTTTTTATTTATTTGTCTATCTATCCATCCATCCACGCATTTATACATCCATCCACCGATGGCATGATCATAGTTTACTAGAGCCTCAAACTCCTCGGTTCAAGCAATAGATATCCATTTTAAAAAGAGAAAACAAAAAAAAATGACGGCATTAAAAATTTAATATTTTTGTGGGTTTTTTTTTGAGACAGAGTCTTGTTCTGTTGCCCAGGTTGGAGTGCAGTGTACAATCTCGGCTCACTGTAACATCCACCTCCCAGGCTCAAGTGATTCTCATGCCACCATGCCCAGGCGTGCCACCATGCCCTGCTAATTTTCAAGGTTTCACCATGTTGGCCATGCTGGTCTCAAACTCCTAACCTCAAGTGATCCACCCGCCTTGGCGTCCCAAAGTACTGGCATTACAGGCGTGAGCCACTGCACCTGGACAAAAATTTCATTTATAATTACCATTTGCCCTCATATTTATGGCTAATCTCATTTTGGTAATCTAAAAGAATATATTTCTGAGTCACAGTCTGACAACCAACCATTCCAGTCTATGCCTCTTTAAATGATAGCAATAGCTGGGCGAGGTGGCTCACGCCTGTAATCCCAGCACTTTGGGAGGCCGAGACGGGCGGATCACCAGGTCAAGAGATCGAGACCATCCTGGTCAACATGGTGAAACCCCGTCTCTACTAAAAATACAAAAAATTAGCTGGGCATGGTGGTGCGTGCCTATAATCCCAGCTACTCAGGAGGCTGAGGCAGGAGAATTGCCTGAACCCAGGAGGCAGAGGTTGCGGTGAGCCGAGATTGTGCCATTGCACTCCAGCCTGGGTAACAAGAGCAAAACTCTGCCTCAAAAAGAAATAAATAAATGACAGCAATAAAAACAAGCATATCCTATCCTTCATACATGCGGAGGCCAGGACTTTAGCATTCTCCCTTTAGAAATAGACATGGCCTTTGATAACTCACCTCCATCTTCCAGCTCCTCCTACAAACTGTGCATTTAATGCACTAAGGGGCCAGGTCTCATGTGGGGTCTCAGGCCATGTAAGCTCATGTCTGGTATAAATATCCATGAAAAACATATTCTTATCATGAGATAAACTGCAAGAAAAAATCCTCTGTCCACATACGGACAACTGTGACTGCTTCTCTAGATAAACTTTAAATGATAAAATAGTATGACTCTTACCCTGTGGGATATCTTTTACTCCTGCTTTCTTCATAGATTCTTCAGGTTGAGCAGCATTTGCCATTTCTCTGGCTTGTATGTATTGCTGTAGCTCTTTGGCAAAATTATCTTCTGGTTCCTGATTGCAGATATCCTTATCACTATATACATCATAGTCCTTACTTCTTGATTTTCTATGCAGCGAACTTTTTGGTGATATTGTAGAGTTTCCAAAGTGTCTGAACTAAGCAAAAATTAAAACTTCAATTTAAAAAACTAGCATGATTCAAAACAATCTGGCTATACAGAAGAAACAAGATTAGCTATAAACTGATCATTGCTGAAGTTGGGTAATAGGTACATGGGGTTCATATACTATTCTCTCCACTAATATTTGAAATTTTCTGGAATTAAAAACAAACTAACCAGCCACTATAACATATCTACATTAAAGATGATTTGAGGGAAGATTCTAAATTTGTACACTGTATGCATTTGACTGAATTAAAAGTCTAAACTCCTAAATCTTAATTATTTGATATGGGAGGATTACATTATTTAGTTCACATATTACATTTCTGCCTTTGCATTGACAGTACTTTTAAACATCTTTGATAATTTATCATTTCGTAAAACACCAAGTAAACTGTAATGGCCCATATGAAAACTCACTTACACTTAAGATATATTTCAGCTACCAAAGCCTAGTCTTTCTCCTATAACTCACAGCAGTCACAGCAGCAATGATGACAAGAAATAAAGAATTACCCTGTTCTCTGTAATCGAGTTAATTTTACTTTTGGAAAGAGTTTCCTAATTCCATTATTTCAAGTACTCAAGGCAATGGTGAAGAATTCTGGCATCCACAGGAACAGGAACCCAGGTATGGGAGCTAATCCTAGAGGAGCCCAAGCTGATCATAGCAGATGACTTAAAGCAATTTCTGCATAAAAATTTTCCAGTATTGGTTACACATGTGTCTACACTTGGTGACACAGGTATATCAAACTGTATAATTATAATTAACATGTAGAACGCATTTTAATCAAAAAGTTTATTTTTAAAAAAATGATCAGGGCTCCTATTCTGATGTCAGGAAGAAATGGCATGCCTACCATTACAGTGGACAAATGATTCTGTTTCACAGCATACTTTGGGTCCTGGTCCCTTATTTGCTTTCATGTAACTAAGAAGCAAACTCAAAACATACAAAAAATACAATAAACGGAAGAATCACCAAAAAAAAAAAAGGAAACTTAAATTGGGCCACCTAACATATTAATATATTAACCATTTGCTTTTAACAGTTTATTTATTTATTTATTTTGATGGAGTCTCATTCTATTGCCCAGGCTAGAGTGCAGTGGCACAATCTCAGCTCACTGCAACCTATGCTTCCCAGTTCAAGCAATTCCCTTGTCTCAGCCTCTCAAGCAGCTAGGACTCCAGGTATGTGCCACCACACCCAGCTAATTTTTGTATTTTTGGTAGGGACGCGGTTTCACCATGTTGGCCAGGCTGGTCTCGAACTCCTGACCTCAAGTGATCTGCCTACTTCAACCTCCCAAAGTGCTGGGATTACAGGTGTGAGCCACTGGGCCTGACAACAGTTTACTTTTGATGGTTAACTTCAAAGTTAGGAGTTGCTCCACCAGAGAATTGATTATAAGCCTAGAAAATAAACGTGCTCCCTGCTTAAAGAATCCAAACAAACTGAGGAAGTTTCTTGATCTGACACTGGCCTCAATTGTACCTTATCTTTACTACACAAACAAGACTACCAACCAATCTATTATCTTCAGGCCACCAAACTTCTTGTCTCCAAGTCTTAAGAAAGAGTACCTTTTCCGAGGGGGGACTGCCAAGATGGCAGGGTAGGAGCAAATCAGGATTGCAGCTCTCAGTGAAGACGCAGAGGGTGAGTTCAACCCGCATTTCCAGACGGATCTTTGTTGCCCACAGAACGGGGAAATTCCCAGGTGTAGGAGAGACACAGGATGCCAGCGCAGCTGTTAAGGCTCAGGCGGCTGCTTTGGCCGGTGCCTCAGCGCAGCGGCACTCCACACAAAACGCACTGGTCTGAATGCCCTGTTAAACCGGCAATCTGAGATTTGGGAGGGCAGATTAGCATATCCATCTGATTAAACGGGACTTGGACAGCAAGCCAGACCAGGAGATTACCGGGAAGAGACGTCTGAGCTGGAGCAGTGGGTTGCTGCACGGGAAATCACACAGATCCCGGTGCCGTATCAGCAGCTGACTGAAACACCTGGCAGAGAGTCAACCGTTCAACTTAAAAAAAAAAAGAGGGCTCTGAGGCAGGGAGCCAGGTGATCAGACTCGGCGGATCCCACCCCTACAGGGACAAACAAAATGGTGATTCCAAACGCTCAGGGTTGAGAGTTTCACTGTGGGCACAGCTGAACCCAGGACGGTGCAGCTCGGGACGGTGCAGCTCAGTGGGGGAGGGGCGTCCGCCATTACGGAGGCATACCACCCCTACTGAGGTACACTCCCATTGCTGAACAGCCTGCCATTGCCGAGGCAACCCGCCATAACAGAGAGACTCCGCCAACAGGGCGGAGCCTCAACAGGCAAATAGTGACTAGACTGCCCCCTAGCTGGCAGGAAGGTGCAACGGATACTCACAAAGAAAGCCTTAACTCCCCGAGACAGAGCATCTGAGGAAAAAAAGGGGTTGTATGAGTTCTGCTGCAGCAGACTTAAACGTACTGGCCTAACCGCCCTGAATGATCAACGGAGCTCATAGCTCAGCACTTGAGCTCCTATAAAGTACAGACCGCCTCCTCAAGCAGCTCCCTGACCCCTGTATATCCAAAGAGTCACCTCATAAAGGACTGATCAGACTGATATTTGGCGGGCATCGTTTTGGGACAAAGATAGCAGAAGAGGAAACTGGTAGCACCCCTCACTATTCTGCAGCTGCTACAGGTATACCCCAGACAAGCAGGGCCTGGAGTGGACCTCAGCAGTCCTACAGCAGAGGGGCTAGACTGTTAGAAGGAAAACTAAGTAACAGAAATACTTCATCATCAACAATCTGGGCACCCACTCAGAGACCCAATCGAAAAGTCAGCTACTCGGACGACAGGTGGATAAACCCACAAAGATGGGAAGAAACCAGCGCAAAAAGGAGGAAAACACCTGAAACCAAAACACCTCGCCTCCTACAAAGGACCAAAACTCCTCACCAGCAAGGGGACAAAACTGGATGGAGAATGAGTATGATGAAATGACGGAATCAGACTTCAGAAGGTGGGTAATGAGAAACTTCCATGAGCTAAAAGAACATGTTCTAAATCAATGCAAAAAAACTAAGAACCTTGTAAAAAGATTTGAGGAAATAATAACAAGAATGGACAACTTAGAGAGGAATATGAATGAATTGAAGGAGCTAAAATACACAACACGAGAACTTCGCGAAGCATGCACAAGTTTCAACAGCCGAATTGACCAAGCAGAAGAAAGAATATCAGAAGTCGAAGATCAACTCAATGAAATAAAACGAGAAACCAAGAATAGAGAAAAACACAAAAAGGAATGAACAAAGTTTCCAAGAAATGTGGGACTATGTGAAGAGACCTAATCTACGTTTGATAGGTGTACCTAAATGTGACAAAGAGAATGAATCCAAGCTGGAAAATACTCTTCAGGATATTATTCAGGAAAATTTCCCCAACCTAGCAAGGCAGGCCAATAGTCAAGTCCAGGAAATACAGAGAACACCTCAAAGATATTCCGCAAGCAGAGCAACCCCAAGGCACATAATCGTCAGATTCACCAGGGTTGAAATGAAGGAGAAAATACTAAGGGCAGCCAGAAAGAAAGGTCGGGTCACCCACAAAGGGAAGCCCATCAGACTCACAGCAGATCTCTTGGCAGAAACCCTATAAGGCAGAAGAGAGTGGGGGCCAATATTCAACATCCTTAAAGAAAAGAACTTTCAACCCAGAATTTCATATCCAGCCAAACTGAACTTCATAAGTGAAGGAAAAATAAAATCCTTCACAAACAAGCAAGTACTCAGAGATTTTGTCACCACCAGGCCTGCTTTACAAGAGCTCCTGAAAGAGGCACTACACACAGAAAGGAACAACCAGTACCAGCCATTCCAAAAACATACCAAATACTAAAGAGCATGAACAAAATGAAGAATCAGCATCAACTAACAGGCAAAACAGCCCGCTAGCATCAAAATGGCAGTATCAAATTCACACATAACAATATTAACCCTAAATGTAAATGGGCTAAATGCACCAATCAAAAGACACAGACTGGCAAATTGGATAAAAAACCAACACCCATCGGTGTGCTGTATCCAGGAAACCCATCTCACAGGCAAGGATACACAAAGGCTCAAAATAAAGTGATGGAGGTAGATTGACCAAGCAAATGGACAGCAAAAAAAGCAGGAGTTGCAATTCTCATCTCTGATAAAATAGTCTTTAAAGCAACAAAGATCAAAAGAGACAAAGAAGGTCATTACATAATGGTAAAAGGATCGATACAACAAGAAGAGCTAACGATCCTAAATATATATGGACCCAATACAGGAGCACCCAGACATATAAGGCAAGTTCTTAACGACTTACAAAAAGACTTAGACTCCCACACAACAATAGTGGGAGACTTTAACACTCCACTGTCAATATTAGACAGATCAACGAGACAGAAAATTAGCAAGGATATCCAGGGCTTGAACTCAGACCTGGAACAAGCAAACCTGATAGACATTTACAGAACTCTCCACCCCAAATCCACAAAGTATACATTCTTCTCAGTGCCACATCACACCTACTCTAAAACTGACCACATAATTGGAAGTAAAGCACTCCTCAGCAAATGCAAAACAACTGAAATCATAACAAACAGTCTCTCAGACCACAGTGCAATCGAGTTAGAACTCAGAATTCAGAAACTAACTCAGAACCGCACAGCTTCATGGAAACTGAACAACTGGCTCTCGAATTTTAACTGGATAAACAAAGAAATGAAGGAGGAAATAAAGAAGTTCTTCGAAACCAAGGAGAACGAAGACACAACATACCAGAATCTCTGGACACATTTAAAGCAGTCTCCAGAGGAAAATATATAACAATAAGTGCCCATATGAGAAGAGTGGAGAGATCCAAAATTGACACCCTATCGTCAAAATTGAAAGAGCTAGAGGAGCAAGATCAAAAAAACTCAAAACCTAGCAGAAGACAAGAAATAACTAAGATC